TGCACAAATATTTTGAAACCACATAAACCATGTCTTAGGGCTTCCAAGTCTAGAATGGCATAATAAATAACAAGTATTCATCATGATATATTGTGTAAAACAATATCACCAACTTATCAATTTAAACCATCCCTCAACAATAAGCTTTATATACTAGATTACAACATTATAGTATTAAGTGCCTAAAATAATTACAATTACCAATAGTAATTCACTAGAATATAGGATTGATATCAAAATAGTATAGTAATTCAAATCAATAAGAGCTCTATACAACATTAATAATCCTACTCAAGATACATACACAATATACATGTTTAATCAATGAATCCTAAGTCAATCATAAGGATTTCCTATAGTATGCAATACTACAATTCTAAAAGCATATATACAATATATATTAAACCCCAAAGGATTTTAAAACACTTAAAATATAAACATACTACCACCCCTACCTCAATAGAGAATTGAATCTCTATAATCCAAGCTACCAAGCTCGAAATAGAAAACAAGTTTAGGGTTAATGAAGAGGAGAGTGAGGGGAAACTTTTGTGTTTCGAGATTTTAAGTCTAGGGTGAATGGAAGGAGGCCAAAAGTGAGGTCAAAGCTCTAAGCCAAGCTTTTCCTTCAATGGTGGCTAGGTTAGGGTTTTTAGAGAACAAGTGCAAATGAAAGGGATAAAGTGAAAATGGTGAGTGGAGGATCTAGTATTCCTCCACTCACTATGTGTTCTTACACTACCTCTCTCACACACACAATGCAAGACTTATTTTGGTGCCTACACTTGTCACAAATCCAAGGCTCCTTCCTAAGCTTAATCCTAAGCCTACACTTGTCAACCATCTAAGCCAACAAGTGCTCCAATCTTAGGCCAACAAATGGGTGAATCTCCACCCTCCAAATGTCAAGAGATAATGCTCCCAAGTCACTCCACCCCAATGCCAACAAGTGGCTCCATGAGAATGTGACACTTGTCACATTTTTCAAAAATTACGAAAATGTCCTTTTTGAAAATATCTTACAAATTAAATTACAAAATGGTCCCTAAGACGAAAAATAATTATTTTACATAATTACACTAAAACCCCAAAAATAAAGAATAATTACAAAAAAGTATGCATCCACGCCCTTTATGAAAAAGTAAGCAACTAGAATGTACTTTCTACAAAAGTAAAAATACAAAGGTTATGAAAATCAAATATCATGAATGCATGCAAAACTGGAATCAAATCCGAGTACAAAATGTGTGGTTATGCAAGGAAAAATGATAAACAAGAAAAAGACAAAATAGGGAAAAGACAAAATAAGAAAAAAAAAGGCGAAAAAAGAAAATCGTTGAAAAAGGAAAAAGGAGGAAAAATACCGGGTCCTTACACTAGGGGCGATTTGTGAGAATTTGTGCTTTGTGTTGATTGGGATGAAATCCTTTCTAAAAATTGCAAGACTACCAAAGATCTTGCTTGGTGGGGAAGTGAAATCGGCAGTTCCTCACCGAGGACCGTCATTGTACATTGACTGGGAGTCCGTCGAAGGAAGGAAGTCTGTTCTCTCCTCTTATTTGGTCGGAAGATTCGACAAGGAAGTGGGGAGTTATGATCGTGTGAAGGAATGGGCATCACGGGCTTGGAATACGACTTGTGGAGTAGGGGTATCACCGTTATCCGACTCACTGCTTATTTTTCGATTTCCTTCTCAGGCAGAGGCCAAACGTGTGTTGAAAGAAGGGCGATGACAGTGGGGTTCTGTAACTTTGAGGATTAACGTGTGGTCCTTTCGTGTTAGATGTTGTGGCATTCTCAGTGATCAAGGTCTTAAGCGGATCCGATTGTTTGGTCTCCCATTGCATCTCTGGTGTCATGTTTTGTTCGTCGAAGTGGAAGAGCTTTGCGGTGGGTATGTCAGATCTGATGCGGATGAGACTAGGGATGCTGAAAGCAATCGGATAACAGTGCGATCTGGTCGTGATTGCCCGAAGTTTGTGTTTATTAATAATGACACTTTCTGCTACAAGGTCGCAATTTGGGAAGAAATTTCGCTGGAGCTTATTCCTTCAATGGAGAGCCTTGAAAACAGTGATGGATCTCATCTTATATCGGAATAGAAATGGAATAAGATTCTTAGTAAAGGAAAATAAGGGATTCTAGAAATTCAGCAGTGGCTGAAGGATCGCGAAATTCAGCAAGCAGTGATGTTTATTGGAGGTAGACGACAAAGTGAGTTTCACGCGCCGGCCAAACGCATTGTTGATAAGTAGCGCTGGTGTACACGTGGTGACCGACGGGATGAACCTTCAGATTCGGCTTTATCCTTATCTTTTGATGATAAGGTAGGGGAGGATTTATTTTGGTCTGAGAAAGGCAGAGTGTTGGTCCATAAGATGTCAAGACAGGCCAGAAGGACTGGGCCTGGTTTCAATCTTGGGCTCATTCAGCCTAAACACAAAATAACAAATTTGGGTTCTAGGCCTAATCGATGGGTACAGAAAAGGCCACTTAGATTTGGTCAAAGTGGGCAGCTTCAAGTTGGGCTTATTAGGTTTGGGCCTAATATAAGGGTACAAAAAGGGCCTAATTCGTTATTTATCTCTTTTCCGAATACTGAATCTGGCCCTAAAAATTCACAAGCCCATGCTAAGCCTTCAACTTATTTGTTGAAACCCGAGAGGAGAATGATGAACGTCAGTCACCATGCTCGGTGGACTCGGACTGAAAAACAAAAATGGGTTGCACGATCTCACACTTCTTCTCCAGGTTTATGTTCTGATCTTTCTCTAAATGCTTTCTCTACCTCTTTTTCTTCTTCGGGTAGATAGATAAGTAACATGAATGATGTAGAGGATGTATCGAAACAACAGAGAAGTATTTTGGGACTTCAAGTTTATGGCGTGATAGGTCAGAGTTAGATGTCTCAAAGGTCACAACTGGGAGTATGGGTTTTTTCAATGGAGTGATAGTTTACGTTAGGAAAGATCTACACTTCAAATTGAATAATGACTCAACTGTAGCTTTGCTTAAAGAGCTTCGGCTCTTTGCTGCGGTTGAAGGTTTGAGCAATTTATCATCTGAGCATGAGGAGACTTTGCCAACCCCATCCAAAGAAGTTGATGCTTTGGAAACAGAGAGGAATTTGCAGTTAAGAGTGGTTGATGTTCCTTCTTAGCAGCACTGTTCTATTTTTAGGACAGACTTTGATCATAATGAAGTGGATTTAATGGAACCTTTGGCAGTTGTGTGCCTTATTGTTTGGAGACAACCAATGATCTGGGTATGGAATGGGTTATTGAGAATATTGGAGCAATAAGCGAAGCTTTGGGTGTCTCTACAGAAGGTTATGAGGAACAAACCTTGTCTATTCTTCACAAAATTGTTGCAGGAAATGGTAGTACTGAACCAAATCGTGACACAAAAGAAGTAAAAGCCAGAAATTTACATAGGAAAGGTGAACAGGAAGTGAAGAATCTGATTTCTTGTGTTAATTATGATGAGAAGAATGGGACGACCAAAGAAAGGGGAAGAACCAGAAGTGGTAAATGGGGAGGAGGAGGAGAATTGATTGTTTTTGGTTCTTAATGAAGCTACGACTTATAACATGGAATGTTCGTGGTCTTAATGATCTGAAAATAAGAAGAGTTGTCAAGAGAGCTTTGAGGAAGTGGAGTGCTTATGTTGTCTGTTTACAGGAAACTAAGATGGCTGATATTACTGTTGAGATTGTTAAGAGTCATTGGGCAGGTAGGTTTATGGACTGGGAAGTGTTAAATGCAACAAGCACTTCAGGTGGTATTCTACTCATGTGGGATCGAAGATGGTTGTCAAGTCTGAATTGTTGGAAGGGTATTTTCTCTGTGTCTTGTATGTTTCAGATAAAGGAAGACAATTTCAGGTGGGTATTTTTTGGTGTTTATAGGCCTGTTACTGATAGTGATAAACCAGTCATATGGGAAGAGCTTTGTTATATGAATGATTTATAGTCATTGCCTTGGTGCTTAGGTGGGGATTTTAATTCTATTAGGTCCCCATTTAAGAGGTCCACAGGGGGCATGTGGTCTTCAGAAATGACCATGTTTTCAGAATTTATTGACAGTAATTTCCTTATTGATATTCCATTGGAAGGAGCGGCCTTTACTTGGTCTAATGGTAGGGAACCGGTAACTTTTTCCCGGTTGGATAGATTCCTAATTTCTGGGGCGTAGGAAAAGCATTTTCCAAATGTCTCTCAGGCTGTGTTGGTTAGAGTCACATCTGATCATGTGCCTCTTGTTTTTTATTGTAGTGGCTTGAGTTCTAAACGCACTCCTTTCCATTTTGACAACATGTGGCTTAGATTCGAGGGCTTTCAAGGGAAGGTTCAGTCTTGGTGGGAGAAAGTGAATTTCACAGGCTCTGCTAGTTATGTGTTAGCTAGAAAGTTTCAGTTTCTTAAAACTGAGATAAAGAGGTGGAATAAAGAAGTGTTTGGGAATCTTGAATGGAAGAAGAATAGAGTTCTTACTGATATTACTGAGCTTGATTGTCTTGACGAGGTAGGACAGAGTGGGGAATCTTTATGCTCTAAAAGAGCCTCTTGCCAAGCGGTTTTTGCTGAGATTACTCATATGGAGGAGATTTCGTGGCTCCAGAAGTCTCGGGCTTTGTGGTTGAAAGATGGGGATCGAAATACAAAATTCTTTCATAGACTTGCCAATGCCCACAGAAGATGTAACCATATATGGCGTATACGGGTCAATGGTTCTTAATTGTGGAGGGAGGACGATGTACGCGGAGGAATCGCTTCTTTTTATTAGCAGCTTTACACTGAGACTTTGGATTTGAGACCTACTCTTGATAGGCTTCCATTTAATTCTGTTTCTGCATTGGATAGGGATAGATTTGAGATTCCATTCAGGGAGGAGGAAGTGCTTAAGGCACTTTCTAGTTGTAACGACGACAAAGCTCTTGGGCCAGATGGGTTTACTTTGCGTTTTCTTAAGGAGAGCTGGGAGGTGGTGTGAACTGAGGTGATGGGCACTTTTCAAGAGTTTTATTGTCATGGCACTTTTGAGAAATCTCTAAATGCATCTTTTATTACTCTTATTCCTAAGAAGGGCGGTGCTTCTGATATTAAGGACATTTGGCCAATTAGTTTAATTGGATGTTTGTATAAACTTATTGCCAAGGTTCTAATCTCCAGGATGAGTAATGTTTTGGATGGTCTCATTTCAGAATCACAGAATGCTTTTGTTGGTGGAAGGCAGATTTTGGATTTTGTTCTTATTGTTGGGGAATGTGTTAACTCTAGATTAAGAAATGGGTTCTTTGTGTTTTGTGTAAGCTTGATATTGAGAAAGCTTATGATCATGTTAATTAGAAGTTTGTTCTATATCTACTTCGGAGGATGGGGTTTGGTGATAGGTGAATAAAATGGATTGAAACTTGTATCTCGTCAGTTGTGTTTTTCATTCTCGTGAATGGTTCACCTGCGGGTTTTTTTGCTAGCTTGTGAGGTCTGCGACAAGGAGATCCATTATCGTCTTTTCTTTTCCTCATTGTCATGGAAGATTTGAGCAAGTTAATGAGAAAAGCAGAAGATTTGGGTTACACCAGGGGGTTCAGAGTTGGCAGAGATGTTGAACATCAGATGTAGATTTCCCATTTATTATTCACTGATGATACTTTGGTATTTTGTGATGCTAAAGTTTCTCAACTCAGATATCTGAGGTGCACTCTCGCTTACTTCCAAGCAGTTTCTGGGCGAAAGATTATTGTCGGAAAGAGTGTACTTGTCCCAGTGGGGGATGTTCCAGATATTTCCTCCTTAGCTGCTGTTTTAGGATGTGGAGTTGGTTCTTTTCCTCTTCCTTACTTAGGATTGCCTTTGGGAGTTTCTTCTACTCTAGTTGGGAATTAGGATCTAGTGATTAATAGATATGAGAAAAGATTAGCAGGATGAAAAAAGCAGTATCTATCTAAGGGGGGGAAAGTCACACTCATTAAGAGTACCTTCTCATCCCTTCCTACCTATTTTTTTATCTTTGTTTCAAATTCCATGCTCTATTGCTGAAAGGATTGAAAAAATTCAGATGGATTTTCCCTAGGGTGGAAGGGGAGAGGAGTTTAAGTATCATCTTGTCAATTGGGATCAAGTCTGCCACCCATTGAGGTTAGGTGGGTTAGGCATTCGAAAAATTGTTCCTTTTAATCGTGCTCTCTTGGGAAAGTCGCTATGGAGATTTGAAAGGGAATGCCATCGTCAGTGGAGAAGAGTTTTCTCGTGTCGTTTTAGTGAGGAGAGTGGGGGCTGGTCATCTCTTTCAGTCACTATTACGGGAGGCGTTGGTGTGTGAAAATTCCTTCGGAAGGGTTGGGATGTATTCTCCACACATATTAGATTCAAAGTTCGTGATGGCAGACATGTTTATTTTTGGGAGGACCTTTGGTACGACGATCAGTTGCTGTCTCACTCTTTTCCTAGGGTTTATAGTATTGCAGCCAGTAAGCATGTTTACGTGATTGATTATTATCAACTTGATAACAATGGAGTTACGTGGGATGTGCGGTTTAGGCAGCCCTTTCAGGATTGGGAAATGGAGGAAGCTTGTGTTTTTTTAGATATATTGTATAGACAGAAGGATAGTGGTAGAGGGTGTGATGATATTTTGTAGGTTCCTTGAGCTCATGGTCGGTATAGTGTCCGTTCTATGTTAATCTATTTGTCCAATTTTGTTGGTCCTGAGTTCCCCTGGAAGTCTGTCAGGCGCTCTAAAGCTCCTCTTTGAATCGCATTCTTCGTTTGGACTGCCACATTGGGGAAGATTTTGACTTTGGACAATTTCAGAAAGAGAGGCAAGATCATTGTTAATTGGTGTTGTTTATGTAAAGCTAATAGTGAATCCATGGACCACATTCTTTTGCATTGTCCTATGGCGTTTGATTGTTGGAGTTTTATTTTTAGCATGTTTGGTATTTTTTGGGTAATGCCTAAGCACTCCTCTCAATTGATTAACGCTTGGAAAAGGTATCTAGTCAAAGAACAAGCTCGGGATTATTGGAAGATTGTTCCACATTGTGTCTGGTAGTGTTTATGGCGTGAGAGGAATAACAGATCCTTTGAAGGAAAAGAATCGTCTTTAGCTACTTTAAAAATTCATATTCTTCGTTCTTTGTTCTCTTATGTAAGAGGAAGTGCATGTTCCTCGATTGATGATTTCTTTGATCTCTTGGATTCCGTTGGTCCTTAGACCTTTTTTTTTCTTGTATTAGGGGCACGTTCCCCTCTTGAACGTTTTTCTAATATATTTTTACTTATAAAAAAAAAAAAAAAAAAAGTTGCAGTTATGAAATGTAATATTAATTTTGACCAATTAACATGGAATATATTTGATGATTACTTAATTTACTTGTTTAAAGGCCAGCAACGGGCTTCAGTTGATGTTACTCATTTGGTAGTCTCCATTTCAACCCACCCATTCCTGTCAAATTCATACTAAAAGACGTAAAATGCATTACCATTTGAGTAACACAACAACTATGAATATTGTCATGTACAATGGAAATCTTGATATTAATTTTATACTCGTACTATTTTTACCTTTCCTGTATAAGTAATTAAATTGGAGGCCCTTGTGTTTAACACAAGTCAGAAAACTATATTAGATCTATTTAACTAATGCCACTATCAGCTAGTCATGATGGTTTTCTCTAAATTCTTTGGAAAGACTAGTTCACCCATGCGTCCCTTTTTTCTGTGTCTTTTAAAGTTATAACCCATCCATGCATAATATCATGAAAAATGGATACAAATTTTTTACTGCGACTTACTATTGGCAATAGGTCTGAAAAAGTATCTAAAAATATCAAATTTATATATTTGTACCCTATCAAAGTAAGGAACCATGGCATATATGTTTGGAATAAATTCCACTTTGAGAGAGTTGAAAAAGCACTATCTTGGTTGAAAGGTTTTATACATCTGTCCTTTCTTAACTCATTTCTATAGACAAAGACTCTATTTTTTTTCAACCATTTAGATAGTCTTTTATGGCTCCAATAGCGACTAGATCAATGCATTATTGCTTCAAGAGAAGCTCTCATCAAAGTTTTTACATCCCCATGTCCCCAGTGTGGCGATATGAGGAGCAAAAAAAGGAAAGAGAGGGATGGGGTTTCTATTCTAGTCTTTAAATCACTTCAAGGGTACTAATCTATTACACTATCTACATTACATATAAATGCAGTTGGACTAGGACCGTGCAAGACTTTTAGGGAGTGTAAGAAGTGGGCAAGACATTAAAATTGAACCAAAGACCCAACTAACAAATTCATACGAAATAGGGATTACCTTATTTGTGGTCTAATATCAGAGCTTCTCACTCTTACCCACCACAAACCCTAAAGATCAAAGCTTAATATTCCAGCCCCAAATGCCCTCTATTTCAACTCCCAGCAGAAGGCAAAACCTATTAATGAGCAAATTGAAGTCGAAATTTAACTCAGAGAGTGCTCGCAGTGTTTGAAACATCAATGCTTTAGCCCAGAAAGAAGGAAACTCACTCAGGTGAGTCCAATCAGGTTGAAATCGAAGATGATGAGCTACCAAACATTAATTGAACCAAATTAGGCTTAATTAACTAAAATTGCTATGCTATGTATATTGTTCGCACTACGGCGGTATACATACATAGCATTGTGTCGTGCTCCTTTGATTAACCGCAGTTGTATATTATATTCTTCATACATCTATGCATGTTCATTATTTAATCCTTATCTTATGCATATGCTACGAAAATTATTTATAAATAATCAATAAATTAATTCATTACCGGTGTGTTTGGATGGGATGATTTGGAGGCATAGGGAGAGAAAAGAAAAGAAATGATACGGGTCAATTGTGTTTGGGTGACTTAAATGGAGAAAAAATATAGAATAGGGACAGAAAAGAGAGGGATAGCTATCTCTCATTTGCTATCTCTCCAAAATTGAGAAGATAGGGAGAAAAAGAATGGTGTGGTATAGTGATATTTTAATAATACCAAAACTAGCCTCCACAAATAAATATATAAATTTGTTATTTTATTCAAGTCTTAATTATATAAAAGGGTAGGATAGTAATTTGGTTATTATCCTTTCTTTTCTTTTTTCTCCTATCTATCCAAACATGAATAGAAATTATTATTATCCTTTCTTTTCTTTTCTTTCATAACTAATACTATCATTTCTTTTCTTTTCTCTCATATCCTATGTATCTAAACGCATCCTACAAGTCTTTTGTGTCTTGTAGCTAAAATGGAAGAGTGGCAAACTATAGAATAAAGAGTGGTCTTACCGACTCCCGTATATATTGCCTTATTTGTAAGAAATTGCCTTATTTTGTAAAAAAGTATAAAATTTTAATAGCTTCTCCCTCAATCCCTCTAATAATTTCTCGCGGCCGAGGGGCAAGTTGAGTTATAGGCTGCAACAAGAAACATGGCATTTAACCTCGGATAAGTCATTTGGGCCTATGGTGTCTAATGCAGGATTAGATTTAATTTTAACCTAAGAGCAACCCCAGCGCAAGGTAATATTGTACAATATCTGAACCTGTGCTGAATGAAGGTTCTACTATGCACATTAAACACAAGTGGGGTCCATGTCATATTACACACTCCACACTCCACAGATGAAGAATAAAATAGCGCCTGGCAGTGGGCAGTAGCGCCTGGTGCAGTGGGCCATTGTGTGTGATAATGATATAAAATGGAAAAGTGATATTGTGTGATGATGTGTAAAATAATTATTGTATGTGTATTGGATTAATTAATTAATGTAAAGATAGTCAAATTTTAATTAATTAAAAAAAATTCATTTTTCCTAAATAAATAAAAAGAGTCATTTAATTTGTAGAAGAATTTAATTAATTATTTTTTAAAAAAAAGTTTGTACTTTTTGACTTATCAATTTAATTTATTTATTTATTACATAATAATTTAATTAATTTGCAAAATAATATAAAAAATAACATTTTATTCGATTAATAAATTTAAACATCTTCATCACTGATTTAATTAATTTGCATAATAATATAAAAATTACCTTTTATTCGATTATACCAAATTAAAACATCTTCATCACCAAATTGATTCCACAAATGTTCCATCAAATGTCTCCTGAGATCAGCATTATCCGCTAATTACGAATTCTTCTAAAACGATCGGAAATGTGTGCCGCCAATATTGCTGGGTTTTGAATGTATTTTGGGAGGGATATTGGCTCATCTGACGGAGGTTTCTATTACAAAATGTGTCCACGCTCATCTTCAATGATCATATTATGCAATATGATGCACATTCTCATTATCTTGCTTAAATCTTCTTTATCCCAATAATACACAGGTTTTTGTGTTATAGCCCACATGATCTGCAACACGCCAAACGTTCATTCAACATCTTTCCGAACAACTTCTTGTTTGTTAGCAAATAATTTTTCTTTGCCAGTTGTTGGGTGTGGGATGATCTGAATCAAAGTTGTCCACATGGGATAAATACTATCAGATAGGTAATACCCTATTGCACGTCGATGCCCATTTACCTCATAATTAATCAGAGGCATTGTGCCATTGATTAGGCTATTGAATACTAGGGAATGATCTAAGACATTCACGTCATTGTTTGAACCAGCCATACCAAAGAAAGCATGCCATACCCACAGATCTTTCGATGCAACCGCTTCCAATATGAGGGTAGGCTTATGATTTCCTCCCCTGTGTGTGCCATGCCACCCTGTAGGGCAGTTCTTCCATACCCAATGCATACAATCTATAGAGCCAAGCATACCTGGGAAGCCTCTTTCCTCCCCTTTTCGAAGTAGACGTGCAATGTCATCTTCGTTTGGTGTACGTTGGTACTGCCCTGCATACACCGTAATTACAGCATCACAAAAGCACTTCAAGCTTTCAACCGCAGTGGTTTCAGAAATCTTTATTTACTCATCACAAAGATCTACTAAAATTTCATATGCGAGTATACGTATTGCAGCAGTCATCTTCTGTATAGGAGTGAAACCCATACGACCAAGGGCATCAGGCTTCTAGATAAATCATTCGACATATGTTGTAACATAGTTTAAAATGCGAATAAACAACTCTCGGCGCATCCGAAATCATTTGCGAAACATCTCGGGTGGAAAAGTGGGATTTTCAGCAAAATAATCTTGGAATAGCCGCTGGGCTGCCTCCTCTCGATCACGTTTAATATATTTTCTTTTACGATGTTGAAAGTATGCCTTTACCTTCTCAGCTGATAACAGTTGCATCATATATTGATCGATCTAGCCTAAATTCGATAGATTTGGCCATAGTTCGATTGATCTCATCTGAACTCGATCGATCTCATCTGAACTCGATCGATCGAACCTTCTCAAGTCCGAATTAAAATAAAGTCCAGCTCATTAAAAGATAGCTTACGGTGCAATCATTGAAAGGACCCTAATGCACGAGTCCAGACCATTGGGTGTGACACTCGTGCAATTATTGCACGAGTCCATAAGGATTTGGAGCCATTATAAGGGCAATTTTACTAAGAAAAGAGAGAAGGAGAGGTTAGAGACTAAAGATACATTATTTTGGGAGTTCTTCCATTCTTCTAGGGTTTCAACCAAGGAGAAGAGCATTTCTACCATGGAGATGGCCCTTGAGGGTTGGATGACTTCATCAATGAGTGGCTAAACATCTTCTTGGGGCTAGAGTTAGCCCTAAGCATGCTTTCTAAACCTTAATGTTTTGTATTTTGAGGGGATTTGTGTTGTAATGTTGTCTTGACACTTGATTTATATATGAATCTTGTTCTTACAATGATTTGTGTGGTTTAATACTTCCTATTGATCATTTTATTCTATCCATATGTCTATGTATGCTAGAATAGATGTTTATGTGTTTATCTCTAGTTTTTATATTGTTGATGCATGTTTATATGTGTTGATGCTATTGATCTAGAGATTGTCAAGGCATAGTGCTTAATAGAATACTCTTGTGGTTTATTTAATGGTTCATTCTTATTTCTTGAAGGATTGTGTCTCTCCTTTAGTTTAATTAGTTTAATTTCCATGGTCCTAGCTTAGTTATAGTGCAGTTGCCTTAGTTTCTTAGATGAGAGGACAATCCATGCTTGTTGTTTGATGTTCCATGCTTATGAATGCAAGTAGTGGTGTGTCGTCAATTCAAACCCAAAGTTTATGCTTATGTGGCCAAGTTTTACATTTATAAATTGTAACTACTACCTTTCACTAAAAATATAACTAGGGCGAGTAGGGATTGTCCCAAGGGATTGAGTGTCATACTAGGTTGAGGGATCAAAATTAGGGTTAGTAGGTTGAGTGATCAAACTAGTGGTTGGTTGGTTGAATTAAACTAGATGCAAATTAAACTAAAGTGAGCAATAATGCAATAGAGAGAATAAAAGAGAGAGAGATCTTGGGGTTTAGAGATCACCACTAAGCATAGATTTTCTACACCTTTAATGAATAATTAATGAGGGGAAGAACATGTATTACAACAAAATGTGTGTATGTGGTTGTTCCAACAAGCATGGATGAAAAATTAAGCATATATTGTCTAAACAAGATGGTGGATAGCACAACATATCAAATTAAGCCATTAATCCTTTTTTTAAGCTCACAATCCAAACACATCACAAGGTTAGAGATACATATTACTTGCTTTTATAAGTATGGAACATCAACAACAAGCATGGATTGTCCTCTCATTTAACAACTACACTACAACTAAGCTAATGACATGAAATTAAACAAATTAAACTAAGGGAGAGGTACAATCCATCAAGCAATGACTATGAACCATCAAATAAGCCACAAGAACATGACATTAAGCATTATGTCTTAACAATCTCTAGATCTATAGCATCAATACACATAGACATGCATCAATAACACAAGAAATAGAGACAAACACATGAACATCTATTCTAGCATACATAGACATATGGATAGAATGAAATGATCAATTGAAAGCATTAAACCACATAAATCATTGAATAAACATGATCTATATATATATATAAGTGTCAGGGCATGAATCATAATACAAATCCCCTCAAAAATACATAAATTAAGAAGTAGAAAGCATGCTTAGGGCTAACTCTAGCCCCAAGAGGATGTCTAGCCACTCATGGATGATGTCCTCTAACCCTCAAGGGCAAGCTTCATGGAAGAAATCTACTCCTTAGTTGATGAAGAGCCTCCAATGGTGTCTCTAACCTCTTCCTCTTCTTTGCTTCCTCCCTAAGAGTTCTATAAGGTATGATATGATATGATGTGATACAATGTGATATGATACAAAAAGTAATCCTTATCCTTATATAGGTACGTCAAATGACACCCAAAATGAGCTAGGGTCGCACAGCAAATATTCCCTAATGATTGGATAAAGGACAACTTTTTGTGAGCTGGAAATTTAACTTTTTCGCACTGGAGGAAGTTCGATCGATCGAACCTTGGACTTGGATCGATCGAACATGGCTGAGATCTATTGAACTTAGGCTGGATCGATCCTTAATGGCAGCGCCTTTTTGGATAAAAACAAATTTGAGATATTTTGAAGATATTTTTGGAAAAAGGACAAAAGTTGTTGGTAGGGTGGTACAATTCGATAAGATCAATCATTTGGATAAGGACAAGAATGTTCGATCGATCGGAGAAAGAAGTTGGATCGATCGAACTTTTGAGATCTTTGAACAGGAACAAACATGGCTCAGATCCATCTTGAAGTGCTGGGATCGATGAAAGTTGGATCGATCAAACTTTTCTTAAGATCGATCGAAGTTACTGAAATTCCACCCTTTGCTTCCTTTTGCTCTACTTTGCTCCTTTCTTTGATTCATCCCAGAATTGCTTCTATTATGCTCTTATTTGGCTGAGTTAGCTTGTTTTGGGGATAAGTACCTGAAAATGGAAATAACACGAAATCAATACAAAACGGTAAAATAAGATAGATAAAGGTTCTAGAATACCTAAGCTTAAGGGGTTTAAATGCGCACTTTTCAACGCTCATCACACCCCCAAACTTAAATATTGCTAGTCCCTAGCAATGAACTACGAGTAAAGGAATGAAATGAACAATTAATTAACTATGAACTAGAAACTAATAAATGGATAACACCACTTTCGTAGGGAACCCGATTGCACTTAGCATATGCAACAAGCCTTTTAAACCCCTAGGTTACCCCTAATGGACGAGTGAAGAAACATTAAGCTCATTCTTTCAAAAGAGGCACCAATATTGCAAACAAGCATTGGGAGAAAACTACCTCAAATATGAAATGTTTCAAACATTTCTAAGCAATCTCCCAAAATCTCAACATCAAGTAAGCAAGTATGTTCCTCCACACATCAAGAAAATGATCATGAAAATCAAAACAACTCTAGGATCCTTTTTGAGTGGACCGGCATCAAGTGTATTGCTATCTTAGCCAACTAAAGAATTAATCACATCCTTACCCTCAAACTAGCACACAAATCTAGTACCGATCATCAAGACAAAAAGTGGACCTTTTATTAAAGCTTTATTGTTCTAGGTGCGCTTATTCTTTTCACTCAATTTTTTTTTTTTTTTTTTTTTTTTTTTAGGGTAAAAGATGGAAGCATGGTGCAATGTGTTGATCTATTAAGCTTTCTAGTAATCCATGAGGTCGAGCGTTAGGTTAATGACTCCCAAACCAGACGGCTTTAGAGCACTAGGTGTTCAAACACCCCTATGGACTTACAAGCTTAAATCAACTAGACTACAAATCAAGACAACCTCCATCTAATCATTTCTCACTTCTCAGCTTTTGGGAGAAGTCCTCACTTTTTATTGCTTTTGCAACTTTTCCTTTTTCTTTTCTTTTTCTTCTTTTTTTTTTTTTTTTTTTTGAATAAACAATTATTAACCTAGAGTTTGGGCCCTCCATCTTTTGGCGTGAGAAGTTCAATACTTGATGAGGCTAGAATCCCAGCTACTTAATGAAAAAGGGGTTGTTATCCACTTTATCAGGAATGAAAGCTTTCAATGCACTACTAGCTCAATTGGGATATAACCAATTCAATAATTAACAAAGCATGTACCCCACAAATGAATGCTAGCGTGCGCCTGTGCTAATGTAGAATTCTAGAATGAATCTCAAAATAATCACAAAATCAAGATGATGTGGACCACAAATGCAAGTAAGACATCAATGTTTCGAAAAATTTATTCCTAAATGGCATCCACAAGGCATATAAGGAGTATTGAACTCTCAAGTCAAACAATTTTTAAATTTTAAGCAATATAGTCCTCAAAAGATCAAAATCATAGCTAACATGGATCTCAAATCTTAATTTTATAATTAAGTCTCAATGAATGCAACAAGACACCTTACCCCCAAACTTAAACCGGACATTGTCCTCAATGTGCAATGAGAACAATGGAAAAGATGGAAAGAGTATACCATGGTGGTGAAAGACATAAGCCTGGTATATATCCAATTCGAAAAACGTCTCCCCCAAACTTGGAATCAACAACCTACTTGAATAACCACACTAGGAAACTCACATCAAATATCAAATGGAAGAAGAATAATCAAGCATTCGAAGGCAATATATCATAAGATGAAAGAGAGATATGAGATCAAGTCCAATAGAAAAAGTAGCATGACTACACATAAGGGCACAAGAGATTTTTTTTTTTTTTTTTTAATAAACAAAAAGGAATTCAAGAATGCATAAACAATGATTGTTAAGTTTAACTTCTCTTGGTAGACGTAATGCTGCTTTGAATAGATAAGCGCGAAATCCAACAAAGGAAGAAAAAGGTCAAACCAAAGATGCTTAGATCGATCAAAGGAGATCGATCTCAAAAGATTTTTCAATCGATAGAACA